CACATTCGTGCGCCGTGTGGGTCCGGTCCGGCGGTCCGCCGCACGTGTGGAACCGCCCAGACGGCGTCCGCTTGCAAGTATGGTGTTTTCCAATGATGAAAAATCAACATGAAGGGTTGAACGGTAAGTTGGTCTTCCAAAACATTCAAGACTTCTCTTCTTACTCTAGCCGTCAACAAAAAATGGTGGTAATCGGTTCCTTTCTCCATCGAGCGAAGACTTACACCTTGGTTGCTGGCACTGAGTTACCTTTTTTGCTATCTCTGAAAAGGGAGCTTTGGAGAAGGGGGTACCCCGATGAGTACTTCGATACGGCTTTAGTGTCCCTGTCGAGAAAATTTGGTGGGGTATGGAAGCAATGGATACCAATTTCGACTGGTTGGAGTTGTTTCCTTGGCTAGGAATAAAGGGGGTCGGTCTGGTAACCCGCGGTAGGTTTTTTCTGGTTTGCCTTTTTCCGTTTTTCATTTTCTCGCGTTTTTTTCTGTTATTTTCTTTTTATTATTTTTTTACATTTTTTCACTACTGTGGGTGTTGACGAACTGTCTCGAAGTCCCTGATGTAGAAGCAACTACGGATCTGATACGTATATTTTTAGAATTCAGGTTTTGGATCTGACTGGCATTACGAGTAATGTTCCAAGCAGTCTGTAAGGCGTGTCTAGCAGTGTCGTTACCGGGTCAGAAATGATCCGTGGTCCTAGTGTCACGCCAGGTAGGTACTTTGAACCCGGCTGGCAGCAAGTTTGTCCCAACAATGTCTAAGGTGGATCCAGTAATACCGCTACCGGGTTGGAATGGATCCATGGTTCTATGGGTTCCAGGAATTTACGAGGAATAAAAAGTTTTGTTGGCGCGGCGGTGCGAGGTGAATTGGCGTGACCCAGTACGGTATGCTTAGTCTAGAAGGTGAAGTTCTCTGTTCCTACAGTTAGCCCAAGATAAAAGCATTCAATTCATCGTCCAAATCACCAACTAAGACCCCTGATGATCCTGGCACCGCCACCAGGTGAAACCGGTAGGGTCGTTCGCCGTATGGAAGCTTAGCTTTCGCCATAGCCGTTGCTTCACTGTTATACTCTTTACAGCAGTCGTGTTCTGTTTTTTACAAGCTTTATTTTATGTCATCTCTCCTTCTCTGGTTGTTGTCTAAACTCTACCTATCTCTGTTCACATGTTGTCTGTATTGTCGATCTAGCGTCTCGCCACATGAATGTCCTACTGAATTGTTGTAAAAGCATACATGTTTGTGTGGTCAAGCGCCAAGTTCCTCACACACCCGTCTCCCATCGGAACAGCACACTTGCACAATATCTACATTTTCTAAACTATAAAAGGATGGAGGGCATAAAGCAACATACTTAACAAACAACAATTACACAAAATATAAAAAGTTAGTTGCCCCAGAACACAAAAGGCTACCCTATCCAGCGGCCTAACTCGGTAAGGCTCGCTAGTGGCATTCAGGAGGTTGTGGGTTCAATCCCCATTGGCCTCATGTACCTTCCTTGGCATGCTTGGCGCCCGCCACCTAGAGATAGACCACTGGATCCCCCGATCGGCATTGAGCAGAGTCTGCTGATGTTCGTAGGGGAGGGGACCTGAGGGGAGGCACAGGGATTGGTCCTGTTGGCATGGTCCCTGATGCTACCGGCTGTCCCCTAGCCGGTATCGCCCGCCTGCAGGTCGGGAGCAGCCCCCCCCGCATGTTCTCTCGTGAACACAGTTCTGGCTGCTACGGGGTTCCCCCTATGCCTACAATTAGTAGTAGTGGTAGGTAGGTAGCGTGAGGTGAAATTGAGAGAAGAATATAGCTTTCGAAAAAAAAAAAAAAAAGGCTACCCTAATAAGAAAGCACCGACGACATCCGCGATTGTTCTGAAAAAGCTTTGCGATTCCTCTGAGTCGGCCCACAGAACCACCATAAATCAAACAAGCACCGGGGCCTCCTCCCCCCACCGGAACGCGGCCCGTCCTACCGGTCGGTCGACTGCAGCAGTTCCCCCTGGGTCGCCGTTTGCGCATTTTGATTGGGGGGGGGATTCAATTTTTTAAGGGGCCGGGGGCCTCCATGCGGGTCATGGAGGCCTCCCGGCCCCAAAAAAAATTGAACCAGGTCCAGTAGGGCCGCCCGATTGTTCAAAAAACGGCAGCCAATCTGGGCCATCGATCTGGTGAGATAGGCGGCCCAGATAGGCCGCCGGTTTTTGAACATTCAGGTGGGAAACCGCCCGAACATCGACCTACCCTCCCCCCTGCCTCCAGCCTCCCACTACTTCGACACTTCGTCAAACGTGAACGAAGCCGAGACTTCGTCGCCCCGCCCATTCACCCCCGCCTCAATGGAGTCGCCATCGCCGCGCCCCGCTGTCGAGCTTCCCCTCCACCGGTAAGCAACTTCCTCTGCCTCCTCTACTTCTTCGTCGTCGTCTTCTTCTGGTAGAGCCGAACTCAACTTCGTGTAGTATTTCGATTTCGAGCGCGCACAGAAGTTCGTGGGGGGCGCAGAATTCTGCGCTGTGTTGAGAGAGAGAGAGAGAGAGAGAGAGAGAGAGAGAGAGAGAGTTGGCGCGCGGAGGTTAGTAGGTGCATGGAGGCTGGAGGGTGGAGGTTAGGTTAGTGGGCGCGCGCAGAAGTAAGCCGGCTCGTGGAAATCAGTGAGCTCACGCGGCAGAGAGAGAGAGAGAGAGAGAGAGAGAGAGAGAGAGACCACCCAACTAACACCCCCACAATAACCCCCCAACCCCTGAAGTACGCCCAGTCAGTCA